CCTGCTTCAGATTCTGTGTCTCCCTCTCTCTCTGCCCCCCTCCTTCACTCATGCTCTGTCTCTGTCTCTCTCTCTCAAAAATAAATACACATTAAAAAAAATTTTTTTTTTTAAATACAGGTTGCCTCTTTTTGTGAAAGATGGCATGGCTGATTATGATTCTTTCCCTCAGAACTTATAATATTAATGATAACAGCTTGCATTTATTAAGTATAATGTGCCAAGTACTATTTCTTTAAACACTTAGCATATTTATTTAATTCTCACAAGGGTCTTAGGAGGTAGAACTGTTTTCCACATTTTACAGGTGAGAAAACTGAGGCACAGAGAGGTTACCCTGTCCAAAGTCACATAGATAATACTGCTGGTGTAGTTTCCCGGCCAATATGGCTTCTGAGCCTGTGCAGTTAACTAGTAGGCTACACTGTCTCCACTTTATGTTGCTATGGAGAAGGCTGAGGCCAGCCCAGGATTCTACCCCACCACCGATATGTTTTCCTCTCTAAGGGGTGTCAGTGTTTGAGCCCGTGGTATTGGGAGAGGGAGCGGGTTTGGCTGGGCAGAGTGCAGTGCCTGTGGAAGCACTTAGGCCTGTGCTCATTCTGAGGAGAGCCCGGCTTCCACTCTGCCCAGTCACGGTGTGTCCCAGTGCCGTGCGCTTGTCGTGCTCATTCCCCACTCATGCCAGTGTCTTTCGATGATACCAGGTCAGGCCATCCTTCTGCCTCTGCTGAGGTCCCACGGTGCTTTGTAGTGGTTCTCCTAACCGTTTTGCCCTTGGTTTCCCCGGGGCCTTACCTAAGTACTGTAAAAGGCTTCTCTGCAAATTGAAGAGTGTCCATGAGAATTTGCAAATGTTTTTGGTTTAATCTTTTTTTTTTGACATTGCTTCTGGGGAGTGGAATAAGGGCCATGGGCTGAATCGTGCTGCTTACTTCAGAATTTTCTCTAGTTTTTTTTCTTTGCCATCACCATTTTTCAGTATTTATGGCATAATTCTTCCCCCACCCCCTTGTGCTGAATTTTGTTCATTTTGTGGGTTGATGACAGGAGGGACATTCTATGATGCTCCTTCATTCCGCCATCTTAGCCTAGAAGTGCTGAGTTAGGTATCAAGAGAATTTACCTTTTATCAAATCCTCTCTGACAAGGTGGTTTTATTCATGAAGTCTTCTGTCAGTAACTTTTTTAAATGTCTAAATTTTCTATATTTTGCTAATGGCATCATTTGACCCTGTCATCGTATTAAGATTGTATTAAGAAAAGCACTTTATTTTATCTTATTAATGTTTTTTTGTTTGTTTACTGAGAGTGAGAGAGGGAGGGAGCAAGTACAAGCAGAGAGGGGCAGAGAGAGAGGGAGAGAGAGAATCCCGAACAGGCTCCTTCCAGTTAGCACAGAGCCCGAAGCAGGACTTGATCGCATGACCACGAGATCACGACCCGAGTTGAAATCAGGAGTTGGATGACCGACCACCTGAGCCACCCAGGTGCCCCAGCAGTTTCACAGGCTCGTGATAAATTCCAACAAAAGAAAAGTACAAGTGGTGCAGCGGCTGTCTAAAGTGGTTTAGGGAACAGCGACCAGCAGTTCTCGTTCTCTAAAAGGAATTAGGCATCAACTTAGCTTATTGTTTTGAGAAGTTTCTCTGCATATGGCGTCAAATTGTCCCCTCCCTACACAAGTGAAATCAGATGATACGCACTGCTATGTAAGTAAGTAACTTCTTTTTTCCAGTTTGTCTTGGAGATCTTTTCCCTCATCCCATAGAGCTCGTACCTCATTCTTTTAAATTGGGTATCATTTTCCAGTGGCGAGAGTTAACCAGGTCTTTGTTCTTTAACCAGACACCTGTAACATGTTTACTGTTTCCAAGCTTTTTAAAAAATTCCCAACAGTGTTGCATTTAATAACTGTGTATGTATGTCTGTGTATGTGTGTCTATGTGTATATATAGGCATTTTTGTAGATTTGAGCTGGTAGGCTTGATAAATGCCTGGCAGTCGTTGGCCAGAAAATAAAAACACTTAAATTTTTCTTCTGAAGATAATGACAAACACCCTCCCAAAATTTTCAGACAAACTTGTAACAGTTTTCACTCCTATCAACCCCACTCTGCACAGTTTAGCCTTTGAGGACATACTGTTTTGTATTCTCCTGTAATTTTACTATATATTTTTTTTATCTTAAATTCTCACATTAAATTTTAAGCCCATTTATAACTGTGTCCCCCATATTGCCTAGCCTCATACCAGTTATGTCATACCTCCTCAAATACTGACCAAAAGGCTAATTTTTTTTTCTATGACCCCCAAATATTCTGGAAAGTGTTTTGGAGTTGAGACCAATGTAAATGGTACACCGAGTACTCATTCGGCACTTACCAGAAGCATCTTATAGAAACTGAGAGCATCTTACACAAACAGAATTGGTAGTCTTTTTTTTTTTTTTTTTTTTTTTTTTTTTTTTTTTTTTTTTTTTTTTTTTTTTTTTAAGATTCTGTTTTTAAGTAATCTCTACACCCAACATGGGGCTTGAACTTACAACCCTGAGATCAAGAGTCGCATCTTCCACTGACTGAGCCAGTCAGGTGCCTCCCAAGTAGTCTTTTAAAGAGAGGCAGCAGGTGGAAAAAAGGAACTGGGGAATAGCAATACATGTTGCAGAAATCAGGAAACTTGAGAACAGAGAGGAAAAGGCCCACATTTCATGGTGGTGTTAGGTACAAGGTCCAGCTTTAAGGGGTAGGATGGGAAAGAGGGTTTAAAAATACAAGCAGCAAATGTGGACAAAATATTTCAAGAATTTGGTATTAACCATATTTTCGCTTATTTGGGGGTTTTATTCTTTGGAGTACAAGGGAGACCTGAACGTGTTTTCAAATAGGGAAGAATCTTCTGTGGCAGGGTAGATTTGGATAAGCTGGAAAAGTGATCCTCAGAGCAAACTCCCAGAGGAGGTGGAGAAGGGAAGGGATGGGATCTAGTGGAGTAATGAGGCACAGGTGCGGCACAGCAAGCCAGCATATGAGGTCGTGGGCTGACAAATCTAGAAAGAGGAGGTCTTGTTACTATAAGGAGCAAAAGATAAGGTTCTGGGTTACACGCTCTAGAGCGTATGCTTGGAGGTAAGGACTGAATTAAGGAGATTGTGAAAACAAAGGGTGGCTAGGACGGGTTCAGGTGGGTCATGAGCATGAGTACAGCCACGGAGGAAAGGAAGAAACCAGCAGAGTGAGTGAGCTGCGTGTTTACCTGGAGAACTCGATGGAAGTAAAGGGTGTTCGTCCCGGTACTGTAAGATTGATGAACTTGATTTAAGAATTCTGTAATAAGTCTAAACAGAAGTTTAATGGGAACTTTTGTGTGTACATGCAAACTCTACTTTGCCTAAGGGGAAAAGGAAAAAAAAATCAGATGATACAGTACCTAGAAGAAAAAAATACATTTCATTTTTAGTGTTTTATATCCTAAACTCTTTCAGCAGGAGAGAGTAATTTACTTCTGAGTTTAGAACATTTTTAACTTTTATGGTTATAAATAAAAAGTAGATTTATCTCAAAAACTTTAAAAAGTGCCTTTTGAAATCACAAATTCAGTCTAGATTTAGATTGCATTTGAGCGAACATGTAGTGGTGTGCTTATAGTCTTTGTGAAGTTGTATTTCCCAGAACTCCTTTGTGGCAAGTCTGTGTCTTTTCTTGTACATAAAGAATATAAAATACTCGAATCGTTCTTCCTAGTTTTTAAATGTTTTTATTTTGTTGACTTTAAAACTGTATTTAAAAGCATTCCAAATTTTATCAGGTATATTAAGTGAACTTGATATTGATGCAAATGAAGGATCTCTAATGGAGCTACAGGGACATATTGGAAGATTCCAGGTAACTGACTCTTACTTCTTTAAAGAGTAGTACTGTAAGACAACAAAATACAACAGCCCTCTTATCCATCCTCCCTGTTCTGTTTCCTGGATTTGGGCAAACCCTCTCAACGGTTTTTAATCTATTATCTCTAAATAAATATGCTTATTTTTGAATTTTAGGAATCATCTATTGATTTTCCATTGAGAAGGGTGAGAACTTAGGATCCCTTTTTTCCTTTTCTTCCACCATACAGTATGGACACTTCTCACAACACCCCTCCACCCACTGCCGAAACTCAATATAATTATGAATTTGATTAGATCAGTACTTAGTGTTATGCTGTTATTATTATGTAAATGTAGTATTTGAATAAGAATGGGTGATAGGTTACTTTTGGGCACAACATTATGTTTTCCCTAGAGTGAATAATTATTTCTTTTTTTATTTGCTTGGTTTTTATGTGTTTATTTCTAAGCTCTCTTCCAGTTGTGTGATCTCCTTTAATATATTCAAGCATATTAGATAGCTTATCAACTAGATATTTATCACAGTCTTTCTGGGAGCCTCCTGGCCTGCTTTGATCCGGACATCTTCGTTTTTGATTGGCTGCAGAGTAATTATATTTATATACTAGAATTTATATTTCATTGTTTTTGATATAGTAATTTTCTTAACCAACCAATCCTCTTTTCATGAACTGTTTTTTCAAGTTTCCAAAAGAAAACTGCCGCTATCAGCATTTTTGGGTACAAATTTTTGAACTAGAGATTAGATAGCAATAACTGGTATCACTGGGTCCAAGGGTGCACACACAGTACATGTTGAGTCATTATCAAACAGCACTCCAGAAAGGATGGTACTCTCACCAGCAGTGCCCAAATACTCCTCCCTCCCTTCCTCCCTTCCTTCCTTCCTTCCTTCCTTCCTTCCTTCCTTCCTTTCTTTCTTTCTTTCTTTCTTTCTTTCTTTCTTTCTTTTGTCGTCTAATGTTTTTCATTGGTAGGGAGAAAAAGACATTTTTGATGAGTCTTTCATAAGGTGAAAGAAATGTTTTAGTGCATTTGTTTTGTCTGTCAGGGTAGCAAACGGCAGGTGATCTCTTAAAAATAGATATAACTGTTTTGGCAAAATAAACTTATATTGTAATCTTTTCGATATGTTTTGCCTTATCCAGTCTTATTAGGTAAACTAACATCAGTTTACATAAGCTACTATATATCTGTGTATGTCTGTATATGAATGTAGGTGTGTGTGATACCAGTTTTTAAAGTGCATGTTTTTAATGTCCATTTATTATGTGCAGAGCACTATAGACTAAGCACTGTAAATACAGTTCTTTGTCTCAGGTAATCCTGACAACAAGTAAGGTGGGAATCGCTATTTTCCTAAGAATGTGAGCATTGAGGCTTCTGGAAGTTAAGTAACTTGTTGTAGATCACATAGCAAGAAGTCACGTACCTGCTATGGAAACCCACATCTCTGATTGCAATCACTAGATAGGCGTATTACCAATTTTGAAAATCTTGTCCTTCCCTCTAAGAACCTTAGGAAAAACGGTATTCTCGGGTGAAAAGTAGCAACATTTCAAGGAGAGGACATCTTCATTTTATCTGCCAAGGGTACCTGTGTGTTCTCAGCCCCTTTACGAAGTCCCCAGAGGTGGCTATAGGAGAAATAGCCTTTAAACTTGAGCATTCATAGACAACATTATCACGGACATGCTTGTTACAAACTGTCTTCTGTTTGCCATCTCATTTTGCTTCTCATTATTTATCAACTTGTGTTTATTTAATTGGTATCTACCGAGGAATTATTTGGTGTGATACAGAATATTTTCTAATGTTTACAATGTAATGGGGATTAACTGCTAAAAAAAAAAAAAAAAAAAAAAAAAAGATGTTCTTTTAATGAGTTGACTGCCAAGCAGATACATTTGCAAAAAGGTGAATTTTAATAGTGCTAACTTCAGTGCCTCAGTTGGAGGTAAGAAATCAGATGCTTTAGAGAGTGATTCCACTCCCCGGTGAGTTCTTCTTTTTTGTATCCCTCAAAGAGGGGTAGCTGATTTTACACGTACGGATTGGCTCTGAACAAAGTATCTTTCTCTTTCTTAGCGCCAGTGCTTAGGACTCCTGAGCCGCTTTGGGGGCTCTGACAGACTGCGTCAGTTTAAATTTCAAGATGATAATGTGGAGGGAGATAGAGTGAGCAAGAGAGATGAGCTTGAACTGGCCATGCAGCAGGTAAGAGGAGTGAGCGTTGTGTATCCGTTCTTGAACAGCTGTGTGTTCTTTGGAAGCGTGATGAAAACAACAGATGTGAGTGGTTTTACAGACTGATTTACAGCTTTGTTGTAATTTTACAGATTGATCACTAGCTTTGTTTTCCCTCAGCTCTGGAGTTCCCTGATATTGGGCATTTGGGGAACTAATATTTTTGTCACTGTTACTCTTCCACTGTAGATCTGTGCCAATGTCATGGAATATTGCCAGTCACTCCTGTTACAGAGCTCCCCCACCTTTCAGCATGCTATGTGCCTCTTCACCCCGAGCCTGTCAGAAACCATTAATAGAGATGGACCCCGGCAAGGTGAGCCGAGTCGTTTCCTTCTGTATTTGAGTATTAAGTTGCTGTGATTAAGACAGGCTCTAGTTGGCTCCAGTGAGATGCAGTGTTTTCTTTATGTGTCATTAGTGGGAAAATTTGTAAATGACTTTAAGGAGCGGTAAGGAGTTGGCGTTGTTCGTCTTGTGGATAGTCTAGAGAGCTGGAGAGGACAGAGAAATTCAAGATTTTCTGAGGATAAATTTCTAAATAGAAGAGCCTTGTGGGGAGAGTGTGGTTTTGAATAGTATCTGAGACGCCAAAGAAAGGATCTAGGATTGGTGATTAAGCTAGTCGGGTGAAAAATGTGAAAATGTAACAGTTTAGATGTGAAATCATGTTAAGCTGAATGCATGTCTAAATTGGGTCCTGTATTATAGCTCCAGGTTTCTGTACCATAGCAAATTAAAATGTAGATGCTAAGTGAGCTGACATAGCCCATGATTTCCTAATGACACAGTCGGCAAGATCTGGAATGTGAGGGCTAAGGGTTGATTGAAGTGGTTATCCCATGGGCCACTCAGAAGCCAAAACCCATTCTGATCTCAATGGCGGTAATGGAATGGACTGCTTCTGATTTCTGGAAGCTCTTTGTGTGAGGTTTCTGAAAATCACTTTGTCACATTTTTATCTCCTTCAAGATCTTATTTTCCCTGGAAATTACTTAATCACTTAAAATACTTAATAGAATGATGTTATGAAAAATATATTAGTTTAACAATATATAACCACTGTCTCATGTAACTGGTGCCAAGAACTGACTCTATTTGTGTAACTCTATTATAAAGTGACCAGGGGGGCCCTTTTCTTCTCCCTTGAATCACACATTTTCATACAAACTTGACCTGATCATAACATTTTCAAGTGATGGACACCTGGGTGGCTCAGTTGGTTAAGCGTCTAACTTCGGCTCAGGTCACGATCTCACAGTTCGTGGGTTTGACCTCTGCATCAGGCTCTCTGCTGACAGCATGGAGCCTGCTTGGGATTCTGCCTCAATCTCTCTCCCTCTCCCTCCCCCTTCCCCTCCCTCCTGCCCTCTTTCCCCCCTAGCTTATGCTCTCTCTCTCTCTCTCTCTCAAAAACAATAAACATTAAAAAAATTTTTTTAAATATTTTTAAATGAAATTGTAGTTTAGTCATTTATTCTCCGAAAACAATCATATGCTAATAATGTATCATTAGTAATTATTAAAATTTCATTTAGCTTCTTCTCACTTTGAGCACATCTTTCCCATACTGGATCATTCTTTGATCTTTAATACTTAATGATGAACTTTATGAAGGCTTATATATTGGTTTTTATTTTTCCTCAGACTTTTTAAAGATTTAATAAGCATACATACCTTTGCCAATTGTAGACACGGCGTGGGTAGGTATGTAGTAAGTTCAAGAATATTTAGTTGTAGAGGAGTAGCTTAACCTTAGCAGTTAAGAATATAGACCGATGATGAACTGCCTAGACCTGAATCCCAATTCTCTAAGTGACTATTCATATGACTTCAGAAAAATTATTTAACCCTCTCTGTGCCTCAGTTTCCTCATCTGTAAAATGGGAGTAATAACAAGCTCCTAATTTTTAGTGTAAGGATTAAATGTGTTAATATCTGTGAAATGCTTTAGAACAGTGTCTGGTCCTTAGCACTGCCTAAATGTTAGCTCTTATTATTTTCATTATTGCTGTTGTCATTATTGTCTATCATTTAGTATATGTACTATTACTTGTGGTCCAGGGCCCTTTCCTATAGCACTTCTACTCCCTGGACCTTGTGATCTGTCCTGCAGAATCTGCTTTCTGTAGTCAGCTCTTTTGTGAGCAGCCCCCATGAAGCTAAGTCTGGTAGCTTCTGCACACCTTAATACTTTCTAGACTTGAGCAGGTTAGCGTGTGAGAACCCCTGATATGTGCCAGAGTACTGTCAGCATTGGACCATTCTCTTTCTGGATGTGTTCCTGCCAGACTAGATAATGATACAGACGTTCCTGGGCCCCAGAGTACCTAATTTCACCAGCAGAAGGCTCTGTATCATAGAGACTGTCACATCTTCACTGAGGACTAGAAAGGGAAACCTGGCAACTGATGTGAGTCCAGGATGTCCTGGTTGGTGGCAACATCCGCTGACAAGGAACTGTTTTCTCGCTTCCACTCTTCACGAAGACCTGTGAAATGTGACTTAGGAGCCAAGTTAAGGGAGACAGTGGAGAAGGAAGCCAATGCACATCTCCCTGCAGTATTCGTGGCAGTTAGAGCCACTGAACAAAGATTATCTCCGAATTGAATTCGAAATTACTAAGGTGTTTCTCAAGAAATCCCTCAATCAAAGGGGAAGTTGCTTCACTTGCGCCAGTCCTGCCAGCTCTTCCCTTTGCAGAAGACTTTCCCGACATCCCATTGTTCCTTTGTACCTTCATCAGAAGCTAGTCAGGTAAAAGGCAGATCATTTTGTTTCCTTACCCAAAAGGACTTACGGTGCTAAGAGAGTTGTTGAAGTTTAAATTTCATTATATTATTTGAATATCTCAGTTAGTGTTCTCCTTCTCTTGGGAAGAATGACTTTGAGCTGGGAATTCAGCAACCAGAAAGATGCAGACCAGAAGAGAATCCACATAACTAGAGCTGTAGGGTAAAGCAGGAATTATTCGCTTGGGGCCAGGAAACTCCAGACTTGTGTGTGAGGCTTACGTCTGTGTGTTCATGGCGGGGGCGGGGGCGGGGGGAGAAGCTGGATGCAAAGGTTTATAATTAATGGTTCTGAAAGAGGTCTTCCCCCCAATAAAGGGAAAGTTCTGTCAGTGTCCCATCATCCAGATTTCCTTATTCTCTTCAGGTCTTCAACTTTATGCACATATCTGATCATAGTAGCTCCTAACCCCTCCTCTGAACTGTCAGAAGTATTTAAAAGTGGTTTTGGGTTGGGGCCCCTGGGTGGCTCAGTCAGTTAAGCATCCAACTCTTGACTTTGGTTTAGGTCATGATCTCACAGTTCATGGGTTCAAGCCCCTCGTTGGGCTCTGCACTGACAACGCAGAGCCTGCTTAGGATTCTCTCTCTCCCTCTCTCTCTCTCTCTCTGCCCCTACCTCACTTGGTAACTCTCTCTCTCTCTCTCTCAAAATAAATTAATAACCATTGAAAAAATTTTTTTAAAAAAGTAGTCTTGGGTTGGTTTTAATAATAGGTTACATGCCCTTCAATTCTTGGCATATCCTGTTTAAAACAGGTGATTTGAGGGGCATCTGGGTGACTCATTCAGTTAAATGTCCAAATCTTGATTTTGGCTGGGGTCATAATCCCATGATTTGTGGAATCAAGCCCCGCGTTGGGTTCTGCACCGAGAGCACAGAGTCTGCTTGGGATTCTCTCTCTCTGTCCCTTTCTGCCCCCCCCCCCAAATAAATAAATAATAATTAAAAAAAAACAAAACAGGTCATTCGAGATTCATATCAAATTCTTATAAGTGGAACATCGTTTTTTATTATCAACTCTATTAGATACTCAAGCTCCAGTGATTCCATATTGGCGCCTGCCCGGTTTGGGCATTATTGTCTACCTGCTGAAACAGAGCGCTAATGACTTCTTCAGCTATTACGACAGTCATCGACGGAGTGTCAACAAACTTCAGAATGTAGAGCAACTTCCACCTGATGAGATAAAAGAGGTATGAACCTCATCATGAGCTGTGGAGATTTCTGAGAAGCCTTTGCTTTTCCTCACAAGGACCAGAATACTGGTGTCAGACTTGTGAGCAAAGATGATGTATGCAGGGAGACGAAAGGGCTTGAAGTGGTTCCTCTGTGTGGCTTTAAGAAGAGCCCGTCACCTTAGCACCACGCCTCATAAGCAGAGTAACACGTCACTGAAATACAGTGAAGCTGCACTTGTTTAAGAACACCACCTGCCCTCCGGTAGAACGGCAGCTGGCCTTTGAAGGAGGGTTTTGGTAATTTATACTCTAAAATCTGTGCTGAGAAACTTGGGTGTCTATTGCAGATGCTTATTCAGTAGAAGTGATCCCTTAAGATGCCTCTGTGCCTTCGGCATCTTCAGTATCTGTTGAGTGAATTTTTCAGACAAACGGGATGGCGGATCAGACTTGACTGCCTGCTCTCAATGAGCCAGAATCACTCGCTGACGTTTATTGCAGCTAAAGATGCTGAGTTGCCGGGCTTGCTCCCTCAGTAGCTGGACTACACGGTATCTCTTGCCCAGTGCTGGAGCTTCTTGGTGTCCTTTGGCAGCCTCGGTGTTGAACCGATTTGCCATTCCTGGTTTGCACCAGCTCCCCTGAAAACTCGGTGTCACTCTTCAGAGTAGTCAAGCCTGCCCCTTCTTGCCACTCTTCTGATGATCAGAGGGAACACTGAGTGAGTGTTTACCATGTGCCAGGCCCTGAGCTACAAGTTCTGGCTCAACACATGAGCCTTTTTTTCTCAGATGAGGAAGTGGAGGCACCGGAAGTTTGAATAACTTACCCGAAGCCACCCAGCTAGCACGTACCGAGGCAGGAGTTATTGGTGGGGTTCAGGCGAGCCCTGGAACCGGGTGGCTTACAGCCGACAGCCCCTCCTCCTCCCATTGCAGCTCATGGGCCGTGCCGGTCCTCGCAGGGGGCCCGCAGCCTCCCAGTGAAGCGTGTGGCGCCCTCCCAGCCCGTCTGCCAAACCCAGCGTCTGGGTTGTAAGTCGCATCTCTGTGCTTATGCCAAATAGAGGTGTGATGAAGGGAGTTTCTGGCCGATGAGCATATTTTTCTATCTGCTGTAGAAATCCACTGTACGTTTTCTTCAGAAGATACGTGACAGCTGTCAAAGAACTTCTCCATGGCAGTGTTAAACCTACTGCTTGAAAAACCTACTGTTTCATCTCGTTTTACCTTGATGGGAAGTTGAGGGTTGGTCGGCCCATCAGCAGATTGGAAATGTCTGTTTCAAGGATGAGACCTTTTCCAGAAAGCAGCACGTGAATCTTCATTTGTGAATTTAATTGGTTTGGCTCTCTGTTTTTCTATAAAGTTACTAGCTTCCTAACTAGCTAAGATAATAGCTCTTGTCTGCAAGGACATTTAAACTTCTTCAAACGTTTTTCACAGTGCTTATCGCAAGTGACCCTCTGTATAGAATTCCATGAAGTTTTGGTTACAGTTCACATCATCACTAATACTGTGTTTGTTTCTGGTTCTCAGTTGTGTCAGTCTGTGATGCCTGTTGGTGTTGAGAAAATCTCCACTGCCCAGAAATATGTCCTAGCAAGACGGCGTTTGGTGAAGTTGATCAACAATCGAGCCAAACTACTTTCCCTTTGTTCTTGTATCCTTAATGAAGTCACAGTGGGAACTGGAATGGTGACCTTTAAAAGATTCTTTAAATGTAGAGACTGTTTACTGATTCTCACATTTTTGGGGCATCAAAGCCATATGGAAAAGGACATACATAATTATTGTTGATTTTTTCCAGTAAATGCCCGATATATTTCCAAATTAAAATTTTTCCTTATCTTTTTTTTTTTTAATTTATATATGAAATTTATTGTCAAATTGGTTTCCATACAATTTCCTTATCTTTTAGAGTAGCTAGTAATCCTGATAATGTGTACAGTCACTCTGTGTCTGAATAGGAAGCAAGGACACTGGAGACTGTGCTGGCACAGCACACGCGCCCCCCC